CATTACAATCACTACCACCCTGTACCACCATCACTACCACCCTGTACCACATCACTACCACCCTGTACCACCATCACTACCACCCTGTACACCATCATTACCACCCTGTACCACCATCACTACCACCCTGTACCACCATCACTACACCTGTACCACCATCACTACCACCCTCTACCACCATCACTACCACCCTGTACCACCATCACTACCACCCTGTACCACCATCACTACCACCCTGTACACCATCACTACCACCCTGTACCACCATCACTACCACCCTCTACCACCATCACTACCATCGTACCACCACCACTACACCCTGTACCACCATCACTACCACCCTCTACCACCATCACTACCACCCTGTACCACCATCACTTCCACCCTGTACCACCATCACTACCACCCTTACCACCATCACTACCACCCTCTACCACCATCACTACCACCCTCTACCACCATACTACCACCCTCTACCACCATACTACCACCCTGTACCACCATCACTACCACCCTCTACCATCATCACTACACCACCTGTACCACCATCACTACCACCTGTACCACCATCACTACCACCCTGTACCACCATCACTACCACCCTGTACCACCATCACTACCACCCTGTACCACCATCACTACCACCCTCTACCACCACACTACACCCTGTACCACCATCACTTCCACCCTGTACCACCATCACTACCACCCTCTACCACCATCACTACCACCCTCTACCACCATCACTACCACCCTCTACCACATCACTACCACCCTCTACCACCATCACTACCACCTGTACCACCATCACTACCACCCTCTACCATCATCAACTACCACCCTGTACCACCATCACTACCACCCTGTACCACCATCACTACCACCCTGTACCACCATCACTACCACCCTGTACCACCATCACTACCACCCTCTACCACCATCACTACCACCCTGTACCACCATCACTACCACCCTGTACCACCATCACTACCACCTGTACCACCATCACTACCACCCTGTACCACCATCACTACCACCCTCTACCACCATCACTACACTCTGTACACACCACTACCACCCTGTACCACCATCACTACCACCCTCTACCACCATCACTACCACCCTCTACCACATCACTACCACCCTGTACCACCATCACTACCACCCTGTACCACCATCACTACCACCCTGTACCACCATCACTACCACCCTGTACCACCATCACTACCACCCTGTACCACCATCACTACCACCCTGTACCACCATCACTACCACCCTGTACCACCATCACTACCACCCTGTACCACCATCACTACCACCCTCTACCACCATCACTACACTCTGTACCACCACCACTACCACCTGTACCACCATCACTACCACCCTCTACCACCATCACTACCACCCTGTACCACCATCACTACCACCCTGTACCACCATCACTACCACCCTGTACCACCATCACTACCACCGTACCACCATCACTACCACCCTGTACCACCATCACTACCACCCTCTACCACCATCACCCACCACTCTGTACCACCACACTACCACCCTGTACCACCATCACTACCACCCTTACCACCATCACTACCACCCTGTACCACCATCACTACCACCCTGTACCACCATCACTACCACCCTGTACCACCATCACTACCACCCTGTACACCATCACTACCACCCTGTACCACCATCACTACCACCCTGTACCACCATCACTACCACCCTCTACCACCATCACTACCACTCTGTACCACCACCACTACCACCCTGTACCACCATCACTACCACCCTCTACCACCATCACTACCACCCTGTACACCATCACTACCACCCTGTACCACCATCACTACACCCTGTACCACCAATCACTACCACCCTCTACCACCATCACTACCACTCTGTACCACCACCACTACCACCCTGTACCACCATCACTACCACCCTCTACCACCATCACTACCACCCTGTACCACCATCACTACCACCTGTACCACCATCACTACCACCCTGTACCACCATCACTACCACCCTGTACCACCATCACTACCACCCTGTACCACCATCACTACCACCCTGTACCACCATCACTACCACCCTCTACCACCATCACTACACTCTGTACCACACCACTACCACCCTGTACCACCATCACTACCACCCTCTACCACCATCACTACCACCCTGTACCACCATCACTACCACCCTGTACCACCATCACTACCACCCTGTACCACCATCACTACCACCCTGTACCACCATCACTACCACCCTGTACCACCATCACTACCACCCTCTACCACCATCACTACCACTCTGTACCACCACCACTACCACCTGTACCACATCACTACCACCCTCTACCACCATCACTACCACCCTGTACCACCATCACTACACCCTGTACCACCATCACTACCACCCTGTACCACCATCACTACCACCCTCTACCACCATCACTACCACCCTGTACCACCATCACTACCACCCTGTACCACCATCACTACCACCCTGTACCACCATCACTACCACCCTGTACCACCATCACTACCACCCTGTACCACCATCACTACCACCCTGTACCACCATCACTACCACCCTGTACCACCATCACTACCACCCTGTACCACCATCACTACCACCCTGTACCACCATCACTACCACCCTGTACCACCATCACTACCACCCTGTACCACCATCACTACCACCCTGTACCACCATCACTACCACCCTGTACCACCATCACTACCCCCTGTACCACCATCACTACCACCCTGTACCACCATCACTACCACCCTGTAACCACCATCACTACCACCCTGTACCACCATCACTACCACCCTGTACCACCATCACTACCACCCTGTACCACCATCACTACCACCCTGTACCACCATCACTACCACCCTGTACCACCATCACTACCACCCTGTACCACCATCACTACCACCCTGTACCACCATCACTACCACCCTGTACCACCATCACTACCACCTGTACCACCATCACTACCACCCTCTACCACCATCACTACCACTCTGTACCGACCACCACTACCACCCTGTACCACCATCACTACCACCCTCTACCACCATCACTACCACCCTGTACCACCATCACTACCACCTGTACCACCATCACTACCACCCTGTACCACCCATCACTACCACCTGTACCACCATCACTACCACCCTGTACCACCATCACTACCACCTCTACCACCATCACTACCACTCTGTACACCACCACTACACCCTGTACCACCATCACTACCACCTGTACCACCATCACTACCACCTGTACCACCATCACTACCACCTCTACCACCATCACTACCACTCTGTACACCACCACTACCACCCTGTACCACCATCACTACCACCCTCTACCACCATCACTACCACCTGTACCACCATCACTACCCCCTGTACCACCATCACTACCACCCTGTACCACCATCACTACCACACCCTCTACCACCATCACTACCACCCTGTACCACCATCACTACCACCCTGTACCACCATCACTACCACCCTCTACCACCATCACTACCACCCTCTACCACCATCACTACCACCCTGTACCACCATCACTACCACCCTGTACCACCATCACTACCACCCTCTACCACCACCACTTTCGTATTTTTCTACAAACTTTTTCTTAAATTCTATCATGTGTCTCACATTCTTTACCAAAGGGCTGGCTCTAGAAGCTTTCGTGGGGTCCATGGTGGCTTATTTAGCGGTTACAAGCACTAGAAACAGTGGAATAATCCAAAATGTATGGGAGGCACACGTGGAAACCAACCACAACAGCTTGTAAACAATGGCACACTGACGTCGTCGTTGGTTAAGTTTTTCGCTCTTTGTTAAGGCATTTTTTCTATGGTAAAAAGCGCCTTTAGATGAAATTGCCGTTACTTAATGCCACTGTTAGTTGAGAGTCTACTGTAGTAGTATGTCATTGATGTCAGCTTTATTATTTTATTATTATCACACTGGCCGATTCCCACCAAGGCAGGGTGGCCCGAAAAAGAAAAACTTTCACCATCATTCACTCCATCACTGTCTTGCCAGAAGGGTGCTTTACACTACAGTTTTTAAACTGCAACATTAACACCCCTCCTTCAGAGTGCAGGCACTGTACTTCCCATCTCCAGGACTCTAGTCCGGCCTGCCGGTTTCCCTGAATCCCTTCATAAATGTTACTTTGCTCACACTCCAACAGCACGTCAAGTATTAAAAACCATTTGTCTCCATTCATTCCTATCAAACACGCTCACGCATACCTGCTGGAAGTCCAAGCCCCTCGCACACAAAACCTCTTTACCCCCTCCTCCAACCTTTCCTAGGCCGACCCCTACCCCGCCTTCCTTCCACTACAGACTGATACACTCTTGAAGTTATTCTGTTTCGCTCCATTCTCTCTTCATGTCCGAACCACCTCAACAACCCTTCCTCAGCCCTCTGGACAACAGTTTTGGTAATCCCGCACCTCCTCTTAACTTCCAAACTACGAATTCTCTGCATTATATTCACACCACACATTGCCCTCAGACATGACATCTCCACCACCTCCAGCCTTCTCCTCGCTGCAACATTCGTCACCCATGCTTCACACCCATATAAGAGCGTTGGTAAAACTATACTCTCATACATTCCCCTCTTTGCCTCCAAGGACAAAGTTCTTTGTCTCCACAGACTCCTAAGTGCACCACTCACCCTTTTCCCCTCATCAATTCTATGATTCACCTCATCTTTCATAGACCCATCCGCTGACACGTCCACTCCCAAATATCTGAATACATTCATCTCCTCCATACTCTCTCCCTCCAATCTGATATCCAATCTTTCATCACCTAATTTTTTTGTTTGATGTCAGCTATGGTCTGTATACCTTGTACATGTACTGGTAGTAAATAAAGATATTTATTTATTTATTGATAGGCAGCAAGACTTTTGGTTAAATTTCTTGAAAGTGTCAATACTTTGCAGGTGATCCTGGTACTAGAGTACTAACACTAGTACTAATACTACAAGTGATCCTGGTACTAGAGGATGAACACTTGTACTAATACTACAAGTGATCTTGATACTAGAAGATGAACACTAGTAACAATACTACAAGTGATCCTGGTACTAGAGGATGAACACTAGTGCCAGTACTTCAAGTGATCATGGTACTAGAGTACTAACTCTAGTACCAATACTACAAGTGATCCTGGTACTAGAGTACTAACACTAGTACCAATACTGCAAGTGATCCTGGTACTAGAGTGCTAACACTAGTACCAATACTGCAAGTGATCTTGATACTAGAGTACTAACACTAGAACCAATACTACAAGTTATCTTGATACTAGAGTACTAACACTAGTACCAATACTCAGGGTCATAGCAGCATCATGTAAGAACAGTGTCATAAATACAACATCTACTGTGTCAACTCTGGTGTCAGATGGTATCATAAAACTGGTGTGTCACAATACATGTAGTGTCAGCACTGGTGTCAAGTGGTGTCATAAAACTGGTGTGTCACAATTCAACATGTAGTGTCAACATTGGTGTCATAAAGCTGACACAACAACTGTAACATCCTCACTCGTATCGTCTGTATTTACACATCTCGTCATCAGGAATTTGTTAGGTAAACATTATCTCAGATTAGACTGTAATTTTTTCATCAATATGTGTAACACATGTAGCAGCAGCATCAACATGTAATGTGCTAAATTAATTTGAGGCCTATAGTCATAATTATATAGTGTGTATGAGTATTGTTAATGTTAAATGTTTCTTGTATATGGTGGAGGTACTATTTGTGTGACTATTACACAGTAGTAAGACATATGTAACTTATAGTAACCATTGACCCCATACTGTTTTATCACTTAACAGTGTTTAAACATAATAATATAGTGGTACCTCGAGTTTCGTATAGCTTCCAACTCAAACAATTATGTAAGTGTATTTTTGTAAGTGGTTTTGTAAGTGTATTTTTGGGGGTCTGAAACGGAATAATCTAATTTACATTATTCCTTATGTGAACAAATTCGTTCGGTATCGGCACTCGAACAGCCTTCTGGAACGAACTAATTTCGTAACTCGAGGTACCACTCTACATTAATGAAATATTTATCTTCACTGTAAACAGTATTAATGCAAATCTATTTTGGTTCGGCACTTTTTAATTCGTATACAAGATTTATTAAGTCAGTGGTCATTATGTCTTCAGTAAGTGAAAAAGAATGTGTTCAGGAATCACGTGTTATAGTTCACACAGAAGAGAAATTACAACAATATACTGAGTGTCTGAAAGATGTTAAACTAAAATTGAATTATGTATCGGATATAAAAACTCGTCAAGACAAAGCTCTCCAGTGCTCAGTTTGTCTGAAGAAATTTTTAAAGAAATTTCATTTACTAAGACACATGAAAATTCATAGCGGAGAGAAGCCACATCAATGCTCAGTGTGTTTCAAAGAATTTTCACAAAAACAAGATTTAATAACTCATGTGAGAATTCACACTGGGGAGAAACCATACCAGTGTTCAGAGTGTCTCAAAGACTTTTCCCAAAAATCTAATTTGGCAAGACACATGAGAACTCACACTGGAGAGAAGCCACATAAGTGTTCTAAATGTGTCAAAGAATTTTCCCAAAAATGTGACTTAATTAAACACATGAGAGTTCATACTGGAGAGAAACCTTATAAGTGTTCGGAGTGTCAAAAAGATTTTTCTCAAAAATATCATTTAATTAATCACATGAGAGTTCATACAGGTGCTAAACCATATCATTGTTCAGAGTGTCTCAAAAACTTCTCCCAAAAATTTGTTTTAATACAACACATGAAAACTCACACTGGAGAGAAACCATATCAGTGTTCAGAATGTCTCAAAGACTTCTCCTCAAAAACTAATTTAGTAAAACACGTAAGAATTCATACCGGACAGAAACCATACCAATGTTCTGAATGCCAGAAAAACTTTTCCCAAAAATCTCACTTAAAATACCATAAAAAAATTCATACTAGAGAGAAACTACATCAGTGTCCAGAATGTCTAAAAAACTTTTACCATAAACTTAATTTAGTAAAACACATGAGAATTCATATAAGTTAAAAAGTCACTTCAGTGTCTTATTTATAAAATACAGGTCCTACATCACAAAATACAGGTCCTACATCACAAAATACAGGTCCTACATCACAAAATACAGGTCCTGCATCACAAAATACAGGTCCTACATCACAAAATACAGGTCCTACATCACAAATCTGGCATCATTGGGACCTGTAGTGTTCTGGATTACTGAGTAGTTAGGTTAGAATACACTTAATAAAAATAACCAACTTGACTTACACAAAGTTCATTGAACATCGGAAAAAATCGAACATTTCTGGTACTGTAAGCTCAATTTCAAAGTACAGTGGACCCCCGCATAACGATTACCTCCGAATGCGACCAATTATGTAAGTGTATTTATGTAAGTGCGTTTGTACGTGTATGTTTGGGGGTCTGAAATGGACTAATCTAATTCACAATATTCCTTATGGGAACAAATTCATCCAGTACTGGCACCTGAACATACTTATGGAATGAAATAATATCGTAAACCGGGGGTCCACTGTACAACCATAAAAACCATACGAAAAAATACCGCAAAGAGGCAGCTAATGGCTAAGAAGTGAACTCCCTTATTTATCGTCCATTTATTTTTCATTTTTGGTGTACGCTAAGAAGTATCTTTCCATCATACATTGCCCAGTTTTCAATAAGATAGCCCAACAAACAACTGAGAAAAAAAATATTTACCAAAAATCATATATGACAAGCCCAAGACAGGTACTGGAAATGAGTCACTTTGTCTGACTTTTTTTGGGTTATCCCAGGTTCTGTATACATACACTGCTATGTATGATAATCTATGTAACTGTATTTGTGTATACCTGAATAAACTTACTTATTTACTTACTTCTAATCTGTCGACTGAGTACAAGAAACCGCTCATTCACCTATTTCAACTACCCAATAAAGTGGTCAGAAATTGGCAGTGTGGCCAATTTCACACAAATTTCAACAGAGGCCAATTTCAAAATAGGGTCTAGAATAAACAATACAGACAATGCATTTTCTGTTTATTAGGCATGGCTCCGGGCCCCTCTTATGTTACTCTTGCTTACCATATGGAATTTTTATTCTTATAAAAAATAGAAGATTTATTCTTATGCAGACTACTGCATTATTGTAATAAATGTATAAATAATGTCAACCCATTCTTGACTCCGTATTGGAATTTGTTTACTCTTGAACATCGCTAAAAAATAGAACATTTCCGCTCCTGTGAGCGCAATTTCAAGGTACAGTACCTTTCGTTGTGAAAGCAATCAAAATCATATCTGTTTCTGTAGTGTATCTTCCATTCCATCAAATGAGACCAAAACAAGAGAATACAACCATAAAAACCATACGAAAATATACCGCTAATGGCTGAGAAGTGAACTTCGCTATTTATGGTCTTGTTTCTCTCATTTTTGGTGTATGTTAAGAAGCATCTTTCCATCATACATTGCCCAAGTTTCAATAAATAACAGAAAAAAGGCACAATACCACGACTGGAACGATACACAAATAACCCGCACATAGAAGAGAGGAGTTTACGACAACGTTTCGGTCCAACTTGGACCATTTACAAAGTCACACTAACGAGAAGTAGAGCAGGACGGGTATAGATAGGCAGGAAGTTTCAATAAGATAGCCCAACAAACAGCTCAGAGAAAATAATAATAATAATAATAATAATAATAATAATAATAGTAATAATAATAATAATAATAATAATAATAATAAATAATAGTAATAATAATAATAATAATAGTAATAATAATAATAATAATATTATCTTTATTTACTACATGAAAGATGAGGTGAATCATAGAATTAATGAGGGGAAAAGAGTGAGTGGTGCACTTAGGAGTCTGTGGAGACAAAGAACTTTGTCCTTGGAGGCAAAGAGGGGAATGTATGAGAGTATAGTTTTACCAACGCTCTTATATGGGTGTGAAGCATGGGTGATGAATGTTGCAGCGAGGAGAAGGCTGGAGGCAGTGGAGATGTCATGTCTGAGGCAATGTGTGTGTGAATATAGTGCAGAGAATTCGTAGTTTGGAAGTTAGGAGGATGTGCGGGATTACCAAAACTGTTGTCCAGAGGGCTGAGGAAGGGTTGTTGAGGTGGTTTGGACATGTAGAGAGAATGGAGCAAAACAGAGTGACTTCAAGAGTGTATCAGTCTGTAGTGGAAGGAAGGCGGGGTAGGGGTCGGCCTAGGAAAGGTTGGAGGGAGGGGGTAAAGGAGGTTTTGTGTGCAAGGGGCTTGGACTTCCAGCAGGCATGCGTGAGCGTGTTTGATAGGAGTGAATGGAGACAAATGGTTTTTAATACTTGACGTGCTGTTGGAGTGTGAGCAAAGTAACATTTATGAAGGGGTTCAGGGAAACCGGCAGGCCGGACTTGAGTCCTGGAGATGGGAAGTACAGTGCCTGCACTCTGAAGGAGGGGTGTTAATGTTGCAGTTTAAAAACTGTAGTGTAAAGCACCCTTCTGGCAAGACAGTGATGGAGTGAATGATGGTGAAAGTTTTTCTTTTTCGGGCCACCCTGCCTTGATGGGAATCGGCCAGTGTGATAATAAAAAAAAAAATATGTACATGGCATACAGGCCTAACGGGCATCAGTGACATAGTACTATATAGAAAGCCACTTGTTATGCCAAGCATTTCAGGCAAATTAGGTCAGTGTCCCAGGATGCAATCCACACCAGTCCACTAACACCCAGGTACCCATTTACTGATGGGTGAACATAGACAACAGGTGTAAAGAAACATGCCCAATGTTTCCACCCTGGCTGAGAATCGAATATTTACCAAAAAATCATATATGGCTAGCCCAAGCCAGGTACTAGAAATAAGCCACTATGTTTGACTTTTTGGGTTATCCTAGGTTTTCTGCACATATACTGCAGCTTGAGAGTCACTGGACCTCTGTTGCACAACAAATCTGTCCATAGAGCTCTGTACCTCCCGTTCCTTATGTTTGATAATCTATGTAGAGAAAATAGCTTTTTGTTTCAGTTTTATGGTGCAGTACGAGTGTATGTCACAGTTAGCTCTGTGCTGTACTCCGTTTTCTCTAATATAAGCCACCATGATAGAGATAGCAGAATGGTACTTGTTTCCCATTTCCTCTTCATACCTCTGTCGAACTGCTCGGTGTTATGCCACACATTATTCATTCTGGAGGATTTAACATGTTTTATGTTATTTATATTGTTTATTATGTCATATTAGATCAATTATGATAGGCAAATAAGCTGTAGTGTTGAAATTAGCGTAATAATAGAGCATATTCTCCTGCATCATGAAACTGAGCTCATGGCAACCGACAGTTGTGGCTTCAAAGTCTTTAATGGACAATGTACCGTGTAGGCGTTTTACACGACGAGCAGCATTTCTTTTATTCATTGGAACCATGGCTAGGGCTAAAAGTAAGCAGGTTAAAACAATAAATGAGGAAAAAGAAAGTGGAGTGACTTATGCAGCAAGTAGCGCCACCAAACAGTACCAGGAGGTTGGTGTGGCGACCCTGGAAATTTGAAATTATGCTAGCCAAAATTGGTGCCGAATAACTGAAGGAACCAAATAACTGATTGCCGGATTTGTGATGGCGGACCTGTAGTTTCTCATAAAAATATTTAATAACACATGAAAAAGCCGTATGGAAGGGAAATCTTGCCATTGTGGAGAGTGTTTATTAGACTTTATATTATGTAATGCAGTAATATGCATGGAAACTGGTTTTCTAAATTATTTGTATGATTGTCAGACACAGCAACAACTTGGGATCTTGATGTAGGGAATTCTTCAGTGCTGATCTAAACTATAGTCATGACCTACTTACACTAGTAGATTTGTCCAATGGTGATGCTACCTCCAACTGCTTCACCTCGCCTGTCTGCAGTATACAACATTTCCTCACTTAGTGATGTACTCGTTTACAGACGACTCGGACTTACGATGGGCTGTCTGACCAGTTTGCACACCTAAGTAATGAATATTAGAGCTGATTTCCTCTATTCTGTTTATTGCAATATACAGTACACTACTGTATAAACATTTAAAAATATACCAGAAATGTTATATATGGTACAAGGGTGACATTAAAACAATATCAAAGATGGTTGACACAAACCCACTACCATTATAGTATGCTCCTCACATAGCGACGAATTCGTTTACCAACATGGTCTTAGGAACGGAACTCCATTGTTAAGTGAGGAGAGGCTGCATAAGCCCCTCTCCTCCAGGCATATACTTCACTTTTGTCAAGTTTGATGGAGTGAAGACATCTTCAGGCTATGGGACTGATTACCTCAAATTTTTCCTCCTCATCCACTCTTCTTCTCTGTACTGAACTGAGGAAGCCACTGGTTAATGAAACATTTCTACAGTAAAGATACTTAAATGTTGCTCAAATGTCTTATTCATCTAAACATTATTTACACACATCTAAATTAGCATTGCATATAAGAATTCATACAAGAAAGAATAATCTTTCTCAGTTTGTGTCCAGAATATTTTTCCAGTTTGATGACTAACTTTTACATTAGAACAAGTAATCAAAATAATGTAGTGATTTTATTGTGCTAGCAAAAATTTCTAGATCTTTATTGTTATCTATAGACTGTGTAGAATATTGAATGGTAACAGTACTAATGTATGTGTATGAGGTCCCAACTACTGACTATGGTTATGTTAGGTTAGGTAAGGTTCGTCAGGAAACAGGACAAATGTTTCCTGACGCGGGTCTTAGTCAGATGATGACCCGCCTTTGGAGATTTTGGTCATCTGACCGAGGCCTTCCGCTGGCTTACCGGTCCACCCCTTTAAAAATTATGGTCATTTATAACCATTGTTAAAAAACTACTGACTATTCAGAACATTATGTGGAAGTAATAAATATGTATTTAATCTGTTTTCTAATTATAGGTTGCAATTTTGACTAAACTGAAATTCACTTGCTTCTGCACACTTTAACTCTTAAACTGTCCAAATATTGATCTACATTCACGTGCGTAGCGCTCTGAGCATAGATCTACGTTCATGTGCGTAGCGCTCTGAGCATAGATCTACGTTCATGTGCGTAGCGCTCTGAGCATAGATCTACGTTCATGTGTGTAGCGCTCTGAGCATAGATCTACGTTCATATGTGTAGCGCTCTGAGCATAGATCTACGTTCATGTGCGTAGCGCTCTGAGCATAGATCTACGTTCATGTGTGTAGCGCTCTGAGCATAGATCTACGTTCATGTGTGTAGCGCTCTGAGCATAAATCTACGTTCATGTGTGTAGCGCTCTGAGCATAGATCTATGTTCATGTGCGTAGCGCTCTGAGCATAGATCTACGTTCATGTGCGTAGCGCTCTGAGCATAGATCTACATTCATGTGCGTAGCGCTCTGAACATAGATCTACGTTCATGTGTGTAGCGCTCTGAACATAGATCTACGTTCATGTGTGTAGCACTCTGAGCATAGATCTACGTTCATGTGCGTAGCGCTCTGAGCATAGATCTACGTTCATGTGTGTAGCGCTCTGAGCATAAATCTACGTTCATGTGTGTAGCGCTCTGAGCATAGATCTATGTTCATGTGCGTAGCGCTCTGAGCATAGATCTACGTTCATGTGCGTAGCGCTCTGAGCATAGATCTACGTTCATGTGCGTAGCGCTCTGAACATAGATCTACGTTCATGTGTGTAGCGCTCTGAACATAGATCTACGTTCATGTGTGTAGCACTCTGAACATAGATCTACGTTCATGTGTGTAGCGCTCTGAGCATAGATCTACGTTCATGTGCGTAGCGCTCTGAACATAGATCTACGTTCATGTGTGGTAGCGCTCTGAACATAGATCTACGTTCATGTGCGTAGCGCTCTGAACATAGATCTACGTTCATGTGTGTAGCGCTCTGAACATAGATCTACGTTCATGTGCGTAGCGCTCTGAACATAGATCTACGTTCATGTGTGTAGCGCTCTGAGCATAGATCTACGTTCATGTGCGTAGCGCTCTGAGCATAGATCTACGTTCATGTGTGTAGCGCTCTGAGCATAGATCTACGTTCATGTGTGTAGCGCTCTGAGCATAGATCTACGTTCATGTGCGTAGCGCTCTGAACATAGATCTACGTTCATGTGTGTAGCGCTCTGAACATAGATCTACGTTCATGTGCGTAGCGCTCTGAACATAGATCTACATTCATGTGTGTAGCGCTCTGAACATAGATCTACGTTCATGTGTGTAGCGCTCTGAGCATAGATCTACGTTCATGTGTGTAGTGCTCTGAACATTGATCTACGTTCATGTGTGTAGCGCTCTGAGCATAGATCAAACGTTCAGGGTGTGTAGCGCTCTGAACATAGATCTACGTTCATGTGTGTAGCGCTCTGAGCATAGATCTACGTTCATGTGTGTAGCGCTCTGAACATAGATCTACATTCATGTGTGTAGCGCTCTGAGCATAGATCTACGTTCATGTGCGTAGCGCTCTGAACATAGATCTACGTTCATGTGTGTAGCGCTCTGAACATAGATCTACGTTCATGTGTGTAGCGCTCTGAGCATAGATCTACGTTCATGGTGGTAGCGCTCTGAACATAGATCTACGTTCATGTGTGTAGCGCTCTGAACATAGATCTATGTTCATGTGTGTAGCACTCTGAGCATAGATCTACGTTCATGTGTGTAGCGCTCTGAGCATAGATCTACATTCATGTGTATAGCGCTCTGAACATAGATCTAAAATTCATGTGTGTAGCGCTCTGAACATAGATCTACTTTCATGTGTGTAGCACTCTGAGCATAGATCTACGTTCATGTGTGTAGCGCTCTGAACATAGATCTACGTTTTTTTCGTGTTTTCAAATGGAGAAAATAAAGGTTGGAAGCGCTGTGCACGTGAATGTAGATCTATGTTTGGACAGTTTAAGGGTTAACATACTATACAAATTAAATTTATATAGTATGTATATTAATATTATGAATAATAATAATAAT